TTCCAGTGGACTGTGGAAGGAAGAAAGGGGGTTGCACACAGAAGGAATCACTGTTCACAAACTCTGTCCTAAGGGCCACCTGAGGCCAGGACAGTTTGAGTGGAATATCACAGTAATGACAAAAGAATGTATTTTATTGTTTGTGGCTTTCCCCCCTTGATATTTTTCACTTCATTAAAAAAAAAAATCACTCAGTATTCTGTTTATAAAACTGTAGAGGAACAGGAAAAAATAATATGCTTTTAAACTTTTCTGCGTGCATTTCTAGGAGACGGAACTTCTGAGTACTCCTAGCAGAGCTTTGCGAAAACTAGCCCTCAGCAGCTCCTCTCCTAGACATCAAGGGGTCAAGGTCCAGATCCTCAATTTCTTGTCTTCCATTCCACCCTGGAAGTCCATCCTGGGTTGCTGCTTCCTTGCAATATATCACCGTGAATTTCTTTTATGACCTTATGCCTTCTCCTGCTTCTGCTGTACTCTGGTCTAGTCTCAACTTCCTGCAAGAGGGATTTTCCTCTTAGAATTGTGTCCCCCTTCCATCTTTCTAGATCACCTCTATCTGGAGTTACCAATCTAGTGATTCTTGTCTTACTCAGATTTTCTCAAAATAATAATAAAAGAGTAGTAAACAAATTAATGCTAAAAATATATTCTTCTAAACAAGTACAAAGAAATAAAAGTGAAAAGTTTTTTAATGTTCATGATTATCTGCAATGTGTTTAAGCGTATGAAAGAATGACTGAAGTTTTACTTCATACCTTTATTTAAAGTCATAAATCATATATGGTTTGAGATAATACTGTATTACCATAATATTAGCCTCAGACTATAGTAATGTATTAGCTGCAAAAGTTTATTAGAAAGTAAGCATGGTTATTTCAAAGAGGTAAGAAGGAGTAAGAATATCTCTCTGCATTAGAGATTCACTTTGATTCACTTTACTTTGACTATTCCTAATTTTCACGTTCAAGCTTAGAAAAGCTATGACATTCATTAAATTTAAGGATGTTTTCCTTGTTTACTCAAGTACATTTTTGACAAATCATTTATCTGTTCCTTAATAACTTGGCTCTTTGGCAAGTTTATGTGTACATCATTTTCATCCTAACTGAAATTTCTCATGTCTTCAGAGGGAAAAGAAAAGGGGGCTATTTGGCCTTAATTGAAGATAATATACTTGAAGTCTAGAAATTTCAAATGAATACAGTGCCTCTCTTTAATATCCCCCTGGTCCAAGGAACTCTGGCCAAGAACTCTAGATAAAGGGCTTCACAAGTCTTGCTTGAAGAAGTTGTTGCCATTTGAAGTAGAATGGAAGAAAAAAATGTAAAAAGAATATATCTAAAAGAAGTAGGCTTTAAGAAAGAATTTGTATTAAAAAAAAAAAAGAAAGAAAGAATTTGTATTATATGAAAATTCTACTGGTATTATGAAACTTCAGTAATCCAGAATATGGCATGCCCCTTTTGGAGTTTGGGGTGGGGGAGGGAGTCAGGGACTAAATGTCCTTTAAAAAAAAAAAAAACACAACTTCTAAGACAGCGTAACTTTACTATAAGATATTGTTGAAAGAAACAAAATCTGAATGAAATGCAAAGTGACTGGTACCTCTTTTATGACCATTGGACTAAAGAAGATAATGGACATCATATATTTACTGTTAACTCGAAATTTGTCATGGGCCGAAGAATTTTTAGTAATACCATATGTCAATATATAGCCTATGAAATAGGTTTTAATCATAACACTATAATAAAAATTGAGTGTGTAATAGTATATATTTGTATAATTAAACTATTCACATGATAAAAACAAATATTTTATAAATAATCCTTTGGATATTAAAAAAATCAAAAAATTAATTAATGGAAAAGCAAATATGTATGTATGTATGTGTACATATGTGTGTATGTATTTATGTATTTCGCCAACAATTTAATAATCAAGAAACTACCCTGTGATATCATCTGGATCATATCAGTAGCTCAGAAACCCACACAGTGTTTCTCAAAATGCAAAGACCATTTTAATGCAGGAAAATAGGTAAAACTTCAGTCATAAATAATAATTTCATAAGATTTCCCAATTTGTCAAGGTGTTTTACTATTTTTGTTGTAGGTTCAGATTAAGAAAGAGAATGTTAAAAAGTTCTGTGGGAGAGAGGAATAATGTCGATCATGATGATAGAGTATTATCATATAATTTTTCATCCTCAGAAAAATTTAATAGAAATTACTCTGAATAATTATAAGGGAAAGTCACAGGAACTTATGATTGCTTTTTTTTTTTTACATCTCTGAAGAGTCTCGGAAGAAATCAATTAGCATATACTACACTTTGCTATTACTGTCAGTACAGGCTGGAATCATTAAAATATGCTAAAATGTTGGTATGATTCATCTCTCCATAAATACTCCATCAATCCCAAATCTTGTATTTGATCATCATGGTTAGTGAAATTAATTCAATGCTCTGATATTTTGACTATTGGTGGGAAGCTCTAATCATAAACTTGTAGCTTCATGTAAAGATTAATGAAACAATTCCACTCAAAAACACTGAGTACAGTAATCCACTGTTTAATAGGGATGCTACAATTTAATTTTTAAATGTGGTCATGACTTAAGATATTAAATTATCATTTTAATTAAAGGTAAAATGAACTAAGGATTTAAATCTAAGTGGAAACATTTCCAGAAAAATGGCAGTTCTTCTAACACATTTTATCTGGAAATCATTTACTCATATTTAAGTAAAATTTAACTTAAACAAGATGTTTTCCACTCTAAATGTCTTTACATAACTTTTCCATTGACTTTTAAGTCTGTATGCAAGCTCATTATCATATATGGCAGTAGGCTATCAAAGACCATTATTTTATATGATCATCACTAAGATAAAGGAATACTGAATACAAATCCTTATCACAATCTAAATTTTTGTTTTAAAGTTTATTCAATTTATAGGATCACTTTTTTCAAGGATATACATTTTATGTGCTGATCTTAGCACAATTTACTCTCAGTTCTAAATATTTTCCTGAAACAAACTTTAATAAAGGAAAAAAAGACCTCCAAGAAAACAATCATTGGAAGAATAGAGAATTATCAATATGATGTTAATATCTTTGTTTGCTTTTTTTCCTGAAAGACATTTTGGGCTAGAAAATACTTTGACTTTTTCTAATTTTATTGGCTTTTAAATTTAATACTGCTAAAATAGGAGAAAAGTAATCCTGATAAATGTCTGAAGAGCTATAGTAGATCTCAGAGAACCAGGCCACATGGAAATCAAGTGACTTATAATAACATCACATGGAAATGAGATATTTTGTGACTTTTTATCTTCCACTAACCAGTGCATTATAAAGACATAGCTGTGCAACTTCACTTTGAGTACTGATTGAGAAGTTCCTTTTTTTTGGTCTGAAATATATTATACCCCAAAGAAAAAAGCACATACACACACACACACACACACTCCTACGTTTATATGAAGTCAGTACATTTAAATATGAATTTAAATTATAATATTTCAATTCAACTACCTTGGATATTTAATTTGTCCTCAAAATATAGTTTAAAATAAAATAAAAGTAAAAGGAAGTATTGTCATTTTAACAGCAACATAAAAATTGAGATATTTTATATGCTTTCTTTTTATATCCTCAAAATCTAGTATGCATTTTGCACATAAAATAAACCTCAGTTCAGGCTAGTCATAATTTTAGTACTGAATAGCCACATGTGGTTAGTGGTTACCTAATGGACAGTATAGTTTTAGAAGATGTCATTACTCTTGCTTTACTATTGGAATTTAGAGAATATTTTACTAATACCCAGCAGAATAAATAAATGCCTACAGAAATGAGTGCTCATCGTAGTATAAATTTCTCATTGAATCTACTAAATAATAACCATAATCTTTCTTACATAATAAAAGAGTTCCTTAATAGAGTTTTCTTATTAATCAGATACAATATTTAATAGAGTTATAGAACACATATTTATTGTGAGTTTCTAAAAAATTTCATATATAGTAAATATACTAAACTCAATCTTGCATTATCACTGTTAAAGTTGGCAACAGTTCCACCTAGATTTGCATGATTGTGTGTTATGAGGTATTTCTATATGTATAAAATATATTCTCTATTAATATATAAACTTTATTACCTACATATTGCAAACACTAATATGTGACATTGTTTGAGAATGAACTTTTGGTCATTTCAGAAATATGCAAGCTCACTTAATAATTCTAAATCACAGATAGCTCTCCAAGAAATTTTGATGGAATCTAGTACAGGATTTAGTGGTAGAAGTTGAATAAATATTACTTCTTAAAATTTTAAATTTCATTGGAAAAGCAATTATCTGGGTCTCAGTCATATCTCCAAGTCAAGTATGGGAAGCCTATTTTAAACCCTGCTGATCTCTGGCAATCTGAATAATAATTATGATTTTTAAATGTGGAAGTTCAAGATTTAAGGAGGATATGCTATATTGACCTATTTAAGACTGGACAGTGTCAAGAGTAATTCAAATCAATGAAACTAGACAGAAGTTTAGGATGTCAGCAAGGAGAGAAATTATTATGCCTAAATGTTGTAGAAGCATAAAATGGTTTTAGAAAAAAGATGGAAAATACTTGCAAATAGTAACGCTTTTTGCTAGTTATAAAGATAAAGACATTTTAATAATTCAGGATTTGGTGACTTCTCTTATTTACAAAAAAATAGTAATGTTATTTTGAGTTACAGACAAGAAAATAATTTAAAGAAAAAAAAAGCCCATTAAAATTTTAATTAAAACAGATCATTGCAGTAGGGAGTGTTCAGTACTGGTCAGGTTATATAAATCATCACTTTGTTTTTTAATCACAATGACACCACTTACCCAACTTTTTGCTTCTATCTTTACTCTCCTGGTAAAATCATTATGTGTTTAAAGGGAGAGAGAACAGAACAGGTAAAGCTGCAGCAAAAGGTACAAGGATACAGTCCCTTCCTGGAAAGAGGATTTTGTGGCGAACCATTTCTCCCATAATGCATCCCACAGACCATATATCCACTAGAACAGGAGAGAGGGAAGTGAAGAAAAGGGAGGAAAGTAAAGTTAACTAAGATAATTGATCTCTGAAGGAGGAGGAAAAAGAACAGTTTGATTAGAAGGTACAATTTTTGTCTCCCACCAAAAGTTACACTGAAATCAAAACCAACACTGTAATAGTACATTAGCAAGGTTTAGTATGAGAACTCATATTAATTTTTGAAAGTTACGTTATGAGTACCTCAGATCATCTCTATAGTGCCAGTGCCAAAGAGGTGACATGGAAAAACAGAAACGACACCAAATGCATCTCCATAGCAGGTGGCGGCTAAAAGAGATCCGGGGTTTTTGACTATTTGCTGGATATAGCGAAAATAATTTTAATCAACCTTTTCCATTTTCTATTCCACTCAGTTACGTGGAATAGGGCAACAAGAGACCACTCTTTTGTTCCCTAGTTTTTTGTTTGTTTGTTTGTTTGTTTGTTTGTTTTTTTAGTTGGTTGGTTCAAAACAATGTACACGCAAGCAAATCCAAGAAACTAGGAAACGGCTAGAACCGTGGTTTAAAGGCAGAAGTATTGGAATTCCTGGTGTTTGGGACTTAGTTTTTCCTTCAGAAGTTATCCTTGTAAATAAACATCAGTTTTAGTTTCTATTTGAAGTATTTCAAGAACAAAGATATGATCAATTAGCACATGTATAAAGGAGTCATCTGGAAGTAAAGTGAAAAGGTATTAAAGGTGTTTAAAAACTGTTTTGTTTGTGGGATGCCTGGGTGGCTCGGTTGGTTAAGCAGCTGCCTTTGGCTCAGGTTGTGATCCCAGTGTCCTGGAATCAAGTCCCGCATTGGGCTCCTTGCTCAGTGGGGAGCCTGCTTCTCTCTCTGCCTCTGCCTGCCAGTCTGTCTGCCTGTGCTCCCTCTCTCTCTGACAAATAAACAGAATTAAAAAAAAGTTGTTTTGTTTGTTTGTATTGAGTATTTCTCAGTTGTCATACTCGTTAACCAAACATGCTTCACCTTCTCTTACCAATCTTCACCGTCTTCCAGCTTGCTTTTTAGTAACGACCAAGGCAACTTTGGGGCAAAAACATTAGGCTGAAATGTTTTTTGGGGAAGGAAGGCAGGGTTAGATGCATGGGATAGCTGGGCATGCCTGATAGAGGAACAAGCGGGTTTTCTGCATGATAACCTTCCTCTCATAGGCAAGAGGGCAGCATAAGGGTGCTAGCTATGCCTTCACAAATCTAGAGAAGTAAAAAAAATTAAGGCAGTAACTTGCAACCTTTTCTGGTGAGGGAAGGAAAAAGGAGGAAATTACATGCCATTTGTGCAGCAAAGATCCATAACACCATGATAGGAAAACTCAGACCCTACCCCCAGAGCTCTGTAGATGTTTGATTTCTTGATTTCTTAAAATTGGTTCCCCTTTGATTTTTTTTTACAAACAGCCTGTGAAAAATGTATACAAATATCTTCTTTTCCAAATAAGTTAGATATGATATTAGACCTTGGGAAGAGGAGTAGATTTGCCTCTTCCAAGTTAAAAGGTAACAGAATCCTGCCATCGTTCACCAAAATGAACCTGACCTTCCTGAGACCTGACTTCTCCCTTTCCTCTGCACAAATGCACAGAAGTATTGGCCTTCTTCTAATCTGAAAGTACACAAAGAAAGTTTTTAAAACTTTGGTGGCCAGGGAATTTTCATAAATGCACCCTGTAGTACCTGCATGTAAAAATAATTATTTTTATAAAATTTATAAAAATAGACTGCTAGGAATTAAATAGAATAAAACATAAAGTAATCATGCAAGATACATTGAGCACATACATCCAATCCTAATTTACAACAATTTTAATTCTTAGGTTTATTAGATATATTTTTTAATATGTTACATTACTTATTAGAGGTATTCTTTTCAAAATAATATATGGCAATGCATTCTTTATTTTTATGGCAATGCATTCTAATAGATGTTTTATAAAGCCTTTAATAAAATCAAATTGCAATGCGTTTTGAAGATTCTTTTCTTTAAAAGCGTTCATGAATACTAGATTTTTTTAATGAAAGCAATAATATAAAATTGAATATTTTCTAACATGATTTGGAACTTATAAAAATTTACTAGGTATTTGCTATCTTAAATATTACTCACAGAGCAGTTTAAAGGATTAAAGAAACTCTTATCCAACTTGAACAATTTGGATTATTCTAAACTGACTATTCTTTGAGCATTTATAAGATTCTTGCTCCAAGGATTTGTGACATCTTTTTGTCTTTTCCTAGGACTAGAGCCATCAACCTAAGATAGCTACAACGCCAAATGGCTTAATGCAACAGACTATATCCTGTTTTCATACTTACTTAGAGCTAAGCTGCAACTCAGATAGCAATTTGTCTCAATAACTCCAGCATATGTGCTAATCAATACCTGCTTGACTGTTTAATCAGATTCTATCCACAGTTCTTTTTGGCCATAACATGTTAGTGCTCTTATGGCAAAGCTTACTTTTCAGAAACATCCTTCTCATTTTTAACGAGTGATTCTTCCTAGTAGTATTTTTAAAAACCTTCTAAATATGAACGTTGGCAGTCCTATTAAAAATAGAAATAATATATATACATATACATGAAATATGTATATACATAAATATACATAATATATATACATATACATGAAAGAGAACATTGCCTTTGGCCATCTAACATGTATACACATTTTCTTCATGGTTTCTGTGACTGCTGTGCCAAAGCCTTCTTACCGTTCTCCTTGTAGCCCATTCCCAGAATAACCTCGGGGGCTCTATAATAACGTGTGACCACATACGGAGTCATCATGAAGCTCGTGCCTGCTGTCCTGGCCAGTCCAAAGTCGAGGATTTTCAATGTACAATCAGACTTGACTACAATGTTACTTGGTTTTAAATCCTGATGATAGGAACAAGAGAAAAAATTAAAAGCCAGCAGCAAATGGAACATATAATTTCTATCTACTCAATCAATATGGCAGTCTTGCAATAGTACTGTTAGGGCCCCCCTCCTTGACTGAAAAGTGCTATATGAAGCAAATGATTACTGCTCTGAAAGAAGTTTACAATTGGTTTTTTGATATTTTTAAGATATCTTCAAAAACTTCTTAAACCCAGAAGAGAATTGGACTATCAATTTTATAATTTAGGCTCATCTTAGGAAGAGGTTTTAGAATAAATGACATATCATTTTTGTCATTGTTAGGTTTCTCCTTGTGGCAACATAGACCTTTCAGCTTATTTTTCATTTCTAGGCCTGACAGAAGAGCAGATCAGGGAAGCTGTCTTTATGCTGCCAGACACAAACTATGGAAATGAACAGTCTTATTTCAGCTGCACATATGACCTCTGCCAATCAAGAGACTAGAAAACATGAGGTTTCTCAGAAGTTGACTCTCAATGCACTGAAACAAAATGCAAAACAAAAGCAGCTACAGTATCACTTAAATTTTCTTCTACACATTAGTGAACTTTGTGCTAATTCTATTTTAAAAGAAATGAGGAAGTACATTATATTCAACTTACCCTTTTTATATAAAGAAAATAACCTACAGTTGCTCTTTCTTTTCTCCAGAAACACCTTAATTATACTTCTGGAGGAGGTGGTCTTACCCTGTGAATAATTCCAGCAGAATGAAGGTGCTTGATGCCACACAACATTTGGTATAGCAGGTAAGACATTCGCTCGTGGTCTAATTCCATCTGAATCACCTGACACAGGTTGGCATCCATTAGTTCCATGACTAAGTAACTGGAAAGTAAATCCACAAGGTTAGTTCTAAATCACAAGATCTGTGAAGTCCTTCAAAGAGGTCAGAATCCCCTCCTAAATCTGTGAGTCTTCCAAACTTCCCAGCTCTACCTTTGACCGAATTAAGATTATGAAAAACTTTCATGTATTGCAACTCTACCACAAGGTTACTAGCAGAAGTGGCATTTATTCGTGTGTGGTTTCTGCTCATATATTTTCTATTTTCCCCCTACCCATATATTTTCTACCTTCATCTTGTCCTCACTTTTCTTCAAATTCCCTGAATTCTTTCTTCAGTATTATGATTACAAATAAGAAAAAAAAATCGGAGTAGCATCTTCCACTAAATGCCATGTATCTGTGTCAAAGAAGACAATGTACTGGGATTCATTTTCTGTCCTCTGTTATTGTCACTTTACTTTTAGATAGATTCTTTTTGCACAAAATCAAAGGTACCACAGAAATAGAAATAAAGATTTTTAAATGATTTTTAACATGGCCTTCTTATAATTTATTTCTCAAAGTGAATAGAGTCATTCTAGAAAGCTCAAAGTCGATTGATAATAAAAATACATAATAATAAATCTTCTCTGATTAAATCAAGGATATTGGACAATAAAGCATAAGCACCAGAAGACCAGACAGAAGCCAAAGTGTCTTTCCAGGAAGTAACACCAGAAACAGAACCTTCTGTTCCAACACTGGATCTTTTTCATTTGCTATTAGCTCTTATCTCCCTTCAATCCCTACAAGGGATTTCATCCATTGATTTTGTCAATTTCCCTTGAGTTGTCTAAGTACTATGCTCTCCCTTCCTTCATGAGTTTTGTTACTTACACATCTTGGAACTCCTCCAATGTTTTCTGGGGTGTGAAGACATTTAATAAACTAATAATCTGGAAAAGAAACAGTGGAAGGGACAGAGAAAGGAGAGAAAGAAAAAGGGAGAGAATGAATTATTTAAAAAGCATATTTAAATGAGTATTTAACCCAACTCAAAGTCATACGCTAGTGCTACCATAGAAAGAGAAAAGTTGGAAAAAAATTTCTGCAACAGTCTCACAGAACACAGAAAAATGTATTCAGAAAGGATACATGATGTATGTCTTCAAGTTAAATATAATTAAAAAGCTTAAGTTCTTAGACTGAAGGAGGAGTCAGAGAAGGTATATAATTGAAATATTGCCTAGAGTGTGATCCTCCTTGGTAGAATACAGAGTAGTAATTAACAAACAAAAAAAGAAGAAAAGCCATGTAAGAAAATGGTCAGCAGCAAAACACCCACCAAGATGTAGCAAGGTCATGTTTTTCCTCCAAATGAACGAGGTGGTTCTCTAACTTAAGATTTTTTTGTGTGTTGCTATTTAGTTTTTTGGTTTCTATTTCACACACAAATATTATTTAAAAGAAGCTATAATGATAGGTTGGGAAAAGGTATATTCTAGATGATATCACTGTGAATTTTTGTGGAAAATATATTTAAAAATTTTTCAAAATTCTGTTTCTTAAATGTTTTGTTTCCTGTTTTGTTTATTTTATGTATTAGGTGGCAAAGAGGTTTACCTTCTAACATAAGTAAATTAAAAAAAAAAAAAACTTTGTCACATTTCCAAATGTACTGCATACATAAACAACTCAAAATGTCCTTTCAGCTAAATATTCTCTACTAATGTGCTAGTACAAAATAAAAATTTTAAAATATGAATAACAATCTTCTACTCATAAGATAGAATCAACTATTTCACAAAAACTGGACAAGAACAAGTTTCAGATTTAAACATTTTAAGCTATGAATTAATAAATTTTAGTAAATCTTATGAGTGGTATGGAAACATATGAAGTGATTTTAAATATCTGAGAAATGCAGTCAAATCCAGGGAATGCTTTAGGCCACATGTAGCTTTCATTTGTTGAAGAATTATTGACAAAAAAAATCACAAAGTATCTTACTCTGTAAACTGATAGTGTTATGTTGAAAAATGTCTTTGTGATACATCTTTCATTGTGTATATCACTCGTATTTGGTGGGCCATTTTTCTAGTATTTCATCAATCTTGCAAATTAATTCATTTTGGTATTTGTTCAAACAAAATCATTAGAGACTGTGCACAGGCACACACACACACACACACCCCATACACAAACAACCCTTAAATATGGAAAAATGTTAACCTGTATCACCTGGAAAATGAATAATCTAGCTATTCCAAAATTAATTTAGACAATAGCATTACAATTTTGTGTAAATCAAGATTATTTTAAAAGGTAACTTCTCCACTATGTATTCTTATTTTCCCATTTCCTAGTCCCTTGTTTTATAGCTTCATCTTCTCTGATTTCCCTCTGTTCTTTCTTTCTCCCTTGTAAATTCTAATGTCTTCTACTAATCATTTGGAAACTGTGTCATTAAAAAAATCACATCACAGGTATTTTCATTTTGTTTCAACAATTTCACACAGGAATCTGATTCGGTTCCTTTATTCTAGCATCTTTAAAGATTTATTTATTTATTTATTTATTTTTTTGACAGACAGAGATCACACGGGAGAGAGGCAGGTGGAGAGAGAGGGGGGAACAGGCTCCCTGCTGAGCAGAGAACCCAATGCAGGGCTCAATCCCAGGTCCCCAAGACCATGACCTGAGCCAAAGGCAGAGGCTTAACCCACGGAGCCACCCAGGCACCCCTATTCTAGCATCTTAAAATGCAGATATGAATCAGTGCTTTTTCTGGCCCCACAATCACATTAGCTCTCACTTCCTAGAATTAATCATTCATTTTCTAAATGCATTCTCTTCTCTATTATTAAAGATTTAGTTGGGATTACTTTAATGTTTTACTTTACTTTCCACAACATTTACAGAGTTCTGCATTCTGACTGCTTTTATTTAGTATCACAAGTACGAATGTGGAACTTCCATTTGGTTGTGAGTGAACTTCCTTTCTGTTAATGAGTTCCAGAAAATTAGTTCCACAGACGTACAGAAGGGCACATGGAATACACAAAAGGGGGGTAGCAGGTAGAAAGCCATTTACAAATAATCCTTTCAATTGCGAACTTCTTTTTAGGTATCATAAATGTGAACCTCTACATTTCAGTCAGGGAGTAGGATTCCCTCAAATTCACCAGATACACGGGAATTTCTCTACAGTGTGTTTATTGCATTATGGGGGTTGGAAGGAAGACTAGGGAAATGTAAATATATGAAGTCACAAACTATCAAAATTTCCCATACAGTTGCTTCATTGCTTGCATCTATCCATTTTCCATTGCCCATGGGATTTCTCATCCTGTCTGCTATCATAAAAATAGATTGCATTGGCTATGTGGTTAATCTTGTTCCTGCCTTTATTTAACATACTGGCAAAATAAATTGCTTTAGTAGAATGACTTTTCTTATGAATCAACCTTGCCACCATTCATATATTCCTTTTTAGAAGTAGCATGTTCCTTACATGGTCAAATTAGAGATGGGTGCATTCTTCATAAAATTTGCCTCTTTAGTGAGACCTTTCCTGCTCACTCTATTTTAAAAAGTAAGCCCAGGGGTGCCTGAGTGGCTCAGTGGGTTAAAGCCTCTGCCTTTGGCTCAGGTCATGGTCCCAGGGTCCTGGGATCGAGCCCCACATCAGGCTCTCTGCTCAGCGGGGAGCTTGCTTCCCCCTCTCTCTCTGCCTGCCTCTCTGCCTACTTGTGATCTCTGTCTGTCAAATAAATAAATAAAATCTTTAAAAAATAATAAAAAAATAAAAAGTAAGCCCACACACCCAGCACTGACTAGAATAATTTTCTTTCTTCACCTTGTTTTCCCTAATAGTGCTTATCACCATCTGACATTCTCTACATTTGCCTATCTATTTTCCGGATGGTCTTTTTCTTTCACCAGTACAACATGAGCTCCACACAGGCAGGGATTAGCTTCTGTTATCTCCACTACTGTAATCTTAGCATCTACATCTGTACATGGGGCACATTTCATTTATTTAACAACTATGTGTCAAATGGCTGAATCGCAAAGTCAGTGGAACAATAGAGGAAAAGAGAAACACTGTCACTGGAGAAACAATCCACATATTTGTATTTCAAATATCTTCCAACTAAACTCTCATATATACATTTGCTTCTTCTTAGTGAGAGATGGTTGGCCTCATGACAAATTCCCTTGTTAAAAAACTGTGCTGATAATTTCACATATCTTGTGTGATTTTCACACTTAAGAAAAACTTTGCAGGGAGTTAGGATAGCTATTGTTATAGTTTTAGTATAATAATTTATCATTTATTTTCATCATACGTTTAGATGTAATAAGTTATATGCACCATATTTATAAATTCTTTATTAATAATAGTTATTATTAAAATAATGAGTGATCTAACATGTACCCTTACTAAGAAGAACGGGAGCATAGAAAGAATTCTAGAAGCCTTTGTCTGCAGTGGAAGACGCTTATACTCTGAAGTTGAAGAAAGTCCTATGATGGTATACCCTACTTAGTTCCCGTGAGAAAAGGTCTTGATGATCCTGTCCTGACGGCCTTTGCAGACATGTCGCCACACATAGGCCCAGCCCTACAAAAAAGAAGATGCTGAAGCAGAGTGAACATTCGAAGGCCACTGCCAGACTATAGCTAAAGGAAAAAGGAGATAAAAATTTTCACCCATTAATAATTAAATTTAAATTATAAAGAAATATAATGTTCTGCAGGATATTTTTTGGCTTTGTATTTGTTTGCTTTTGATTACTTTGGAAGAAGTCTGGAGCTCTCTGGTTATTTTGGAACAAGATAACCAAATATGGTTAATTTCACAGCAGGAAATATCTATCAAATTTATCCCCTCTTCCACCATATGGTTTTGAGATGATTTTTAAGCAGAAAGCTATCATGAGGACAATGAAATCAAATGTAACATATGGAAGGATAAACAATCTTAACAGGCAGAAATGACAAAGTAAAGAAAGTCCTTCCTTCTCAAGTTGGCACACGGATGTTCTTTCTCCAATCTCACAGCCTCCCACTGCCAGAGGGTTAAAAATAACGACTCACGTTCTTATGGTTCACACACTTCATGAGGACCAGCTCCCGGTAAGCTCTCTTGGCATGCGTTTGGTTCTGAAAGGGTCTGCTGAGCTTCTTAATGGCCACATTTCTGTCAAGAACAGCATCATACGCAGCACTGCAGGGATCCAAGAGCAATCCAGAGTTAGGAACCAAGAAGCCCTTAGAGTTTCTGCCGACTAATATGAGTAAGGGGATGGGTAAAGAAAATACTATTTTGAAATCCTTCTCTGATACTTTCTCCTCTGGTCCCATGCCAATTAGGCTGTGAATAAAGAGCTAGAAGTGACTAGTATCAAACTATTCTACTTGCTAGGAAAAGAAAAAAAGGAGAGTATCTTGCCAAAAAACCACAGCACACAACTGCCTCCTTGAGTGGGAGACAAAAGAAAAAAAGGAAAGTGCTCTGCTTTCTACTGGTCCAGCCATGTGAATGTGGCAAGTCATTTAATCTCTCTGAGCTTGAATTTCTCATCTAATATGTGATATTTAGGTTTTCTCTAGCTATAAAACTCCATTGTTGTTTGGTTATTTTAAGTGAACATTATTCTTTCCCATTCACAGTAACCATATTCTAAGGTATGACATTCATTGCCATGAATGTAAATGTTGGTTGATGGTGAAGTGTGCACATTAACAATAATGAAGCTCAAAATAAGGAATGTAATCATAGGGTTTTTAGAAGCATAAATAACTGCATTTAAATACAAAGACAGGAATGAATGCCACTAACATTTGATGCTTTCAAACTATTTGAGAGTGAAAATTTGCCATGGTTTGAAAAGCAATCCACATACAGGACTGTTTCTCCCACACTCACAATATGTGGGTCTGGAGATCAAATAAGGAACTGAGTCTCTTCTTGGTATTATACCTAATGACTCACTCACAGATTTTCTGCTCCCCTGTCCCTGCGGCTTCAGATGGTGTTGGATTTTGTCTTAATTGCCAGGAAGGAATGCAGCTATCAGTGTTCTCTACAATTGATCTGTTGACTTGGAAGTGGCATTAACTATGCAGTGTTCATGCCACTAAACTAAAACATCAAAAAGGGGTTACTGTATTGTAAGATAATGATGACTAGCAGGATAAGATTGGACAAGGTCTTATAGTTCATCCGGTCCCTGTGTCCATTTAATACTTATTCTTCCATTTGATACTTATTCTCCTCCAAAATATCTCCATAAAAAGTTTGGCCAGTCTCTACTTGAGCATCTCCAAAAACATGATGTGTTAATATTGAGGCGGCTCGTTATGTTGTTGAGAGTTAGAAATGTCATTATTCTAATAAGCAAAGTTGCCTCTATGGTTTCTAGGGACTTTCTCCACCTACCAGGGTAACTCTTGAAGCAGAGTAGTCCCTTTTCCATTGTGGCATATCTATAATATCTGAAATCCATTAAAGGAATGAGCACAACCCTTGGTCTAGTCTATAAGCACCCAGTAGCTCTTGGCTCCTCTTATTTTTTCCCTAAGTCTTTTCTTTCTCAAGCTAAACACTACTAATATCCTACCACAATTTGTCAGAATGTGATTTCAGGTCCTATCACCATCTGGTCAGTTTCCTCTGAATAAATTCCAGTCTGTTGTTATCTGAAAATGTGGATCCTGAACCGAATAAACATCATGAGGCTAGGCATGGAGTATCACTGAAGATTAGGGGAGTGCTAACAACTTCTTTATTCATTCACTAGCTCCGTCACTCCACCGACACAGTTAATACAGCTAAGTCTGCCTTGGCTTTTTGATAACAATATCACACACTATTGATTCACAGTGAACCTATGTTAATTAAAAGTACTGTCTTTTTAAAAACCTGTGCTGCTTTCAAACTATTCATGTCAGCATTGATTCTGCTGTTCTTGTGAACCTACCAATGGCAGCACAGGTAAAGGAAACCGTCAAATAGACCTACATCTTTTCAGTAGTGCCCAAGAACAACAGTGAATTTGGAAACACAGAAATAAAATTTGTTTTCTGTAGCTAGGAAATTGTATCAGCAGAAAATCAATCAAAACAGTCACCTTAAAAAGAAAGAATAAATTTTAGGCCAAAACAACTTAGGTGAAGTCATTAAATTATCTAAAGAAAGAATAACAATCAGTCATGTGGGCCTTAGAAAGGAATCAGAAAGGCAAATTCTGGTACGTCTGACTGAAAGAAGGGACCCAGTCAGTCAGGCAGGTCCAGGGACCCAGTCAGTCAGGCAGATGTATACATCTGTATTTTGATTGGCAGAAAATGTGGACAGTTAGCATTCTGACCAGCATCCCCTGATGAGGCTGAGTCTACCTTCTGCAGTCTCCCTCAGATTTTTGCATGCAGGCATATTACCTATATTTGGTCAGCTTGACTACTGCATTTCTCGTGAGTTAGTAAATCAGCATCTGTTTTTTTTATAGAGCCTCTAGTGGATGTTTGTCAGTGTGAGTTTGAGTCCCTGAGATACCAGCCAGATCCCGAAGGACAGTGGGCCATCTTCCAACCTCATGTGGAATGCCTGAGAAAATGCCATGCTCTGGGGTTCCTGGCAAGTTCTGACCAGTGTGTCCCAGAAATGTTGTGGTTTTCTCCACACTAGTACCTCTTCCTTGAAGCTATTTTAGGTATGAATCTCAGCACTGCTGCTTACTAGATGTGAAGCTAGGGGCAAGCCACTTAGACTCTCTGCCATTAGTTTCCTCACATTTAAAATGGAGATAACAGCCTGACAAGACTACTGCAAAGACTAAAAGAGGCAATAATGTATCTACAGTGCCTCACCAAGAGTAAGCTCTTAATAAATAATAACCATTCCTATTTTTAAAATCAGTAGGAGTCATTATGTAATGGGGGATAAAATAGAACTTCCTATGGCATGTGCTACAATTGGACATATATCTACTACTAATCATCAGTTTTTAATCTTTCTACTAACTACAAATCCACTTAACTATATCACTCTCTTAACTGCATTTCCCAAGTTTGTCCCATGATATAAAAGTTTAGGGCAAAAAGTTAGGCCTTATTAAAATCTAGATATATTAAGCCATTTGGATCTACTAACACTTTAATAAGGTATCCAGTACGATTTATTTTTAATGAACGCTTTATTCCCAGTGGTTGCTACATCCTTTCTTAATGGCTCACAAAAGGTGTCTTTTCTAACCAATACTAAGGTCAATGTCAAGCTCAGCAGATGTCTCTTATAATCTTTCTCTTCCCTTTAAAGGAATAAGAATGTTTGCCTGTCTACAGTTGAATGGAATACTCTGGTTTGGCTCACTGAATTTCCATTTGCCATCTTGTGTCATGTCTTCTAGGCTGGAAAAGACTTGGGAGTTAAATGTACAATTCCCAGATGCTTTTGTAGCTAGTGCTCCAGTCTCCAATAAGATCCTGCCACGTTGATGCAACTATGAGAGATTTATAAGGCAAAAGAGAGGGTGGTCATTTTCTAGTGTTTCTTGGTTGGAAAGCAAGGCCTCATGGAGATGTGAAAGTTCCTTCTGCAAACAGTCATTCATTATCCAAATTCCTGGGTGAGAAGAGGGGTTAAAGGAAAAGCAACAGTGGATTCTAGATTCCAGGGCCCAGTCACCAGCATCACGGACTAGTGACACCAGTAGTAACAAGGGCACAGTTTCAGCTCTAAGATTCCTAAATCTCAGTTACAATCATGTATTGTAACTGGAAGCTCAGTGGTTCTCGGATACTCAGAGGTGGGAGGTCCCCTGGAGACCTCAGCTCTCTAGTGTCTGGGATCATTCCAAGAAGCCCAGACTAGAGGCCACTTCTCCAGGCCTTCCAATGATTGTGAAAGCATCCAATTTACCGTGTTGCCTACTTTAAATGTTTCTGTCTCCTGCCATGAACCCCAGATGACACTACAATCATCCCTGTCCTCTATAATTCCTCAGTGATTACTGGCAACAGTTTAGCAAATACCTCTGAAAATTGGCATCAGAAATTGATGTCTGAAAGTTCTCCATTACTCTTGAGTCATTTTTTTTAAGAGTCTTGGTTCATAGCGCCTTACTTTTTTTTCTTTAAGTAGTTTTTTTTTCCTTTTATCATCATGCAGATAAGAGGTAAATCTTTATGAAGATTTTCCAGCAACTTCCAGCAACTTTCCAGCAATTTTGCTAAAAATTTTCCACAATTTCTTGATGCACAGAACTAACTCACCTCCACTTCTACCAGGCTTATTTATAAAAGAAAGATGTAGCCTTTTGTTGTTATGTTCCTGTCATTTAATGATGCTACAAAGTTAAATTAACTTCCTTGAATATATTTATATAAACACATGCATGGGGACACACACCTCTCTGCAGGCAATTCTTATTCTCAACATATTTAATAGGGTCTTTTCTTTTCTTTCTGGCAATTGCAGACAACCTCTTGCACAAATATTCATCTTCTTAAATAATCATTCATTTGATAATCTTCTTGTTCCCTTTCCCTTCCACATTTAAAACATTGTTGGTCATATTAACATGTTTATGGGCCAAAGATAATTCATTTTTTAAATTTTATTTATTTTCTTTAGAGAGAGAGTGAGATAGTGAGAGAGAGCACAAATGGGGAGGAGAGGGAGAAGCAGGCTCCCCACTGAACAGAGAGCACAACATGGGTCCCAGGACCTTGGGACCATGATCTGAGCTGAAGGCAGAAACTTAACTGACTGAGCCACCCAGGCACCCTGCCAAAAGATAATTTTTAAAAAATCTCTAGGCCTTATGATAACTTTATCTTTAAAAAATTAAAAAAAAAAAAACTTTAAAAACCTTATCATTGCAGCATCTTAAATGTCTTAAGCAATAGCCCAGCAGGCCAGATTCCATCCTGGGGTAAACACTGCATTCTTCATTGCTCTTTCCTCTTTCCCACATTCTCATTTGACTTTTTCCAAAGGCCAGGACTTTAGTCAAAAGCTACCAAAAAAAAAAAAAAAAAAATCTTCCCAATGCCTTTAAAAATCTTACTTTTATTCCCAAACATTACAGTCCCTAGAGATGCTCTGGAGATACTGATTCATTCCACCAAGGAGAACAGTGTTGGGAAACCTGCCAAACTCATCTCTGCCTCAAGACTTTCACAACCATTCCTCCTTCTGCCAGGCAGGCTCTTCCCACATCC